GTGGAGTGGGATCGAGTAGTGGGAGGACTAGGGACTGTTGGTGGTGAGCTGAAGGAGGGTGCCAGTGAATGCTGACTAGGGTGACTTGTCACTGAAGAGGGAGGAAGGGAAATCGGAGGGGCCAGCACAAGAGGGGGAGCTGAGGGTTTTGTTTGACGGGGAGAAGGCTCATTGGCTGGATCAAAAGTAGTAGAGGGATCATCTTGTTCAGACTTCCTAGCCAAAAGGAGTTGAGTGGGAGAGCATGAGGCACAGAGAGAAGGCTTGGAGCGTAGCAGAGAAAAAGCCTGGACATAGAAAATCTCCTTCCATTTCTCCAATCGCTCACAGTAGTTGTAAAGGTCCCGAATAATATTGGGATCGAGGGTGCCATTAAGTGGCCATTTGGACTGATTATCTAAATGGTATTTAGGCCAAATTTTATTGCAAAAGCGAATAAGTTTAGAACCCTTTAGTTCAGGTGTCAGGTGTAGAGACTTGAGGTTTTCTAGGAGGCATCCCAAGGGGGAATGGGAGGGTACGGATGACACGGTTCCCATGGATGAGAAGGAAAAGGTCACTGCAGCCTGTAGTCAAGGGCGTCCCCAGGACTCAGGGAGGACCACCGAAAGAGGACCAAGCCGTTCAGAGGGTCGTCACCCAACTCAACGGGGGTCAGGCTTAGCCCGGCTAAGCCAGAAGAGACTCGGCGCCTGGTACCAGGGCTTTTCTAGAGGCCAGAAGGCGTAGACGGAAACCGAGCTCTAAAAGGGTCTCATCCAAAGGAAAGGGTCAGGATTGGAATCGTAGAAGCCGCAAGGGCCTAGAGGAGCTGTGCAACGACAGCCAGCTCCAAGGGAGGAGGTCAGGAAGGGACGCAATGACCCGGTGGGGCCTAAGGAAACTGCAGGATTGCAATTTCAAGGGTGGTAGGCTGGGGTAAGGTGAGGAGGGTCAGCTGTAGCCTTAAGGGCCTTGGCTGGGGTACCTCCGTCTCTACAAGTATCCCTGACTTAGGGAGCTGAAGGGGAGACTTACCCAATCGTTGATGGTGGATGTAGTGTCAAGCGATTGGTGAGCTGGAAGGCGAGTCTGCTGCAGGCCAACTGGAGATGAGAGATAGGGTCCCAGTGCGGCTCAGACCACGAAGGGGAGCACAGGCACCAGGAGAGCCTATCCAAGTCACTGGTAGACTGAAGATGAGGGATAGGATCCCAGTGCGGCTCAGACCATGAAAGGGAGCACAGGCACCAGGAGAGCCTATCCCGGGTTTCGGCACCAAATGTAAGCGTTTCGTCGGGATGGGTCAGGACAGGATGGAACAGGAGTTAGTGGGTCAGGTATTCTGGCACTCGGGAGTCACAGAATACCCAGTGTTACACAGCTCAGGTGGAAAGGTATCCTGGAGCTCGGGAGCCAAGGATACTGAGTGTTACACAGCTCAGGTAGAAAGGTATCCTGGAGCTCGGGAGCCAAGGACCACCACGGGTTGCAGTAAGCTTGGCAGCTTACAGCCTTGCCTCAGAGAAAGGCTTCTCAGGTGTGTCAGCTCCGCTCCGGCAGGACAGGGTCTTCCAGCTGGGGATGTTCGCCTAGTGTAGCAGTTTTGCTCCGCAGGAGGTTTCTCGGGCGAAGTTGCTACAGTTCAGCTCTGCTCCTGGAGAGCCGAGAGCGGAGAGCAGGGAGCCGGGCGGGAGCAGAGTGTAACAACTCCGCTCTGCCAAGGAAGGTTTCCCGGGCAAGTGTTACAGCGCTGCTCGCTCTGCTCTGCTCTGCTCTGCCCAGGGTCGCCTCTGCTCGCTCTGCTCTGCTCTGCCCAGGGTCGCCTTTGCTCTGTCGCAGCCGCAAAAGAAGATCTTCACCCGAAGCTCATCCAAAGGTGTTTATTGGAAGACAGCTGGACCAGCCAAGCTGAACATACACAGGGTTTATATAGGGGTTCCTGGGGTTGGGGAAGTTTTTCCAGGGTAGGGATTGGTCCGATTTCAGTGCTGAGCTCAGATTGGCTAGAGCTCTGCTCCGGGATTGGTTACTTTTTACACAGGATTAGGGTCAGATTTGGCTCTGGTTTCAGGGCCAAAGTGTGTTTCTTTCTCTGGTCCTTTTTAGCCTTTTGGCTCCAATTTTAGGGCCAGGGTACATTTCTTTCACTGACTCTGATTCCAGGGACAAAGTGTGTTCCTTTGGCACTGGTTTTAGGGTCAGGGTACATTTCTTTGGTTCTGGTTGCAGGGCCAAAGTGTGTTTCTTTGGCTCTGCTCAGGGTGTGTTTCTTTGACTGGTCCCTTTTCCCTACAGTTTTCACAGACTGACTGATAGACAACTACTCTGAAATTGAAAATAAAAATCTTTAATCTGAAACCCTTGTAGGTATTTTTCAACAAGGGAGACTCAATCTGGATTGGTGGTGGTGGTGGTGGTGGTGTGTGTGTGTGTGTGTGTGTGTGTGTGTGTGTGTGCGTGCGTGCGTGCGTGCGTGCGTGTGTGTGTGTGTGTGTGTGTGTGTGTGTGCTAGCATCACCTATTCCACCTCAGTCCTGCAACTCCCATTCAGTCATCTTCTTGCTCTTAGATGCTCAGGATAAAATCCTGTCCTGCTTTGGTCTGCTGCTGGGTCCCAGACAGCTGGTAGTGCTGAGCAATGGGAGACGAGAATAACCTGTCTTTCTCACATATTCCTCCTAGATAGAACTTATGCTTTCCTTTCTGCTGCCCACTCTTCCCATTTGTGTTCCCATTGGCCCTGGGTCTAAGCAGGTGGGTCATCACTGATTCTTTTTGCTAGGGAGACCATCAGTAGGGAAATCTGAGATTTTCCTTCTCAGCATCTGGATTTAAAAGTCATTCTGTCAGCTGTGATAGGGGCAACAGCACACTTCCACAGTACTGTGGGTAACATCCTGAAGACTTCCCTTATCCTCCAGGGCTTCCACTGTGTAAAGTAAGATCCTTGACCAGGCCATGGAGAAGATTTCCAGAATGTTCTAATTTGCAGCAGAGTTGGAGAGCATTCAGAGAAGAGAAAAGGTAGCCCCCTATTTAAGCATGTGGGTTCTAACCGAAAGAGGTATTCAGGGAAAAAGTAAGAAACACCCCAGTGAGAATTCAAGTGAGAGTCACTCTTCATTCGCATGCAGTCATGGCAAATATGACTTTATCCTTATTCTCAAATGGTTGTCAAGAAATGTCAATGAGACCACAGGGCGGGTCTTGAGATGTATTGAACAGGATTACAACTGATAACTTAAAACCCAGAAGTTTGGGTATCTTCACTAAACACTGGCTTGTTTGTGAGACTCCCAGAGAAGAGTAAGATCACAAAGGTCAGATATCCAAGGCCTGATGCCTGGCTTATTAATATTTTAGCATCCTTACTTGAAAATACAATCTCCTTTCTTTAAAAAAAGTTGTGTGTGTGTGTGTGTGTGTGTGTGTGTGCACGCACATGTGGAAACCAGAGGCATCAAATCTCCTGGTGCTGGAGTTACAACAGGTTGTGAATGGTCCAACATGATCGCTGGGCACAGAACACTGTCTCTGGAAGAGCAACCAGCACTCTTAACTCCTGAGCTATCCCTTCAGGCCCCCAAAGTGTCTCTCTATCAAATAAATATTGTTGGCAACCTTTATAACAAAAATATTGCTAAATTGTGTTTGAATTTTTGATTCTCAGCTAGCAAGAGGCTTTCCTGTGGTGATATTTTGTTTGCGCTTTAACAAAGCTTGCCTGAAGATCAGAGTATGGAATTAGCCACTAGTTAGCCATAGAGGCTAGGCAGTGGTGGCACACACCTTTAATACCAGCACTCAACAGGCAGAGGCAGACAGACCTCTGAGTTCAAGGCCACCCTGGGCTCCAGGAGATTGATCCAGTCTCAAAGAGAAACAGAGCCAATCCGTGGCGGCACACACCTTCAGTCCCAGTACTTGGGAGTCACGCTTCTTTAATTCCAGCACTAGGGAGGTGGAGACAGGGTGATATGGCTGGGCAGAGAGAGTGATATAAGGCAGGAGGAGACAGGAGCGCATGGCATGAAGACTGAGGTAGAGACAGGCGCCCATTCAGTCCGAGGATTTAGTGGAGGTAAGAACTAGTGACTGGCTGCTCTGCTTCTCTGATCTTTCAGCATTAACCCCTCCCTGTATTTGACTCCGGGTTTTTATTTTAAGACCAATTAGAATTCGCACTACAGCTTCTGCCAGATTCCAGAGTAAGAGGCTCCTTGTCCTTCCCATAACTCCTGATTTCCCTGTCTTTCTATCCCGCCTCAATCCTGTTCAATCCTGGTTGACCTGTTGGAAGCTTCTGACATGGGGAGATTGGCTTTATCGCTTTGCAGCTATCTTAACTGCAAAGAAGATTGAAGTCTTAGAAATTACAATAAAAACTCACGGTATTATTCTCTAGAATGGTGTTTTTCTTGGCACTGGCGAGTGGGTTTTTTTGTTTCCATTAAAAATGAAAATTTTAGGACAATTATAGTGATGCTCTTTGTCATTACTATGGATTTTCTAGAATGTGCCATAGGGGAGTGAAGTGCTGGGCTGGCTTACACTGTGGAGAGATTGACAAGACACAGAGAATCAACCTTTTTCATTCTTTGTCTTTGAGTGGGGATGTGTGTGTACGTGCTTACATCTCTATGGATGTGTGTGTGTCTGTGCACTTGCGTTGTGGAAGCTGAAGCCAGGAGGTGACCGCAGGGGCCTTCCTCATTTACTGTCTATTTCTGGGGGCAGAATCTCTCCCTGAGCCTTGGGGTTTGTCTAGACAGAATGGCCAATAAGCCCTAAGGACTCTCCTGTCTCAGATTCTGCCTACAGCACCATGGTTGTAGGGACATGCCGCGAGGCCGGGCCTTTACATGGCTACTGGGGCCTGAATGTGGGTCCTCATGCTGGTCAGCTCCTTGACCCGGGTCTCATTCATTTTTAACCCAGGGTTATTGCTATCTGTAATCCTATTTATATGATTTAATATTAACTATAACTAATTTATCATAAATGTGAATGAAACTTACAATCTTGCCAAATCCAATTTCTTCATATTGTTCTAGTTCTTCCTTTAAACTCTTAAGAATTTCTTCCTTCTCTTTCAGTTTTCTTGCTAAAGCACTCATTTTCATGTTGGCAGCATCCTGCAGTGCAGCTTTCTCTTCTTCTATTTCGAAGAATTTCTGAAAGGCAGAGACAGGCATTACCAATCTGACCAGAAATTGTTTTATTTTAATTTGATTTATTGTTTTGGAAACCATTTTATTTTTGTAATTTTCCTACGTTCCTTTATAAATCACTCTAAATTAAAATATGCAATAAGGTAATCCAGTACCACAGTATCTGATAAAACACAAAACATGGTGTATTGTTCTAATTTTATCTGCCATACAATGAGTGAAAATAGGAAGACGATGGATTAGGAGGTTTCCCTCGGGCATCTCTCCTACAGCCACAGGAATTTGGTAGCCATTTGTTGAGACAATTGCCTACCTAGCTAGAAGGGTGCATAGTTCTGGTTGGCCCTAGCAAGAACTGATTTGAGAGGATAGGTCTGTACCAAGTGTCAGAGGTTCAACAGTAATAGTTCTGACAACAGTCATAAATAGACTCATTGCACTAAGGACTTGGCTATAAACTTTTGGTTTTGGTTCCACCACTGACACCAGCCACTAAAAAACTCAAGAGGAAGCATGCTTGCCCATGTTTTTGCTAGGTAACAGGTCCACTGGCCTATGATAGTTGTAGGTCCTGAACTGACCTTGAAATCCATCTAATGACTGTGATTTGGAAGCAGTGTCACCTTCCTAGGAACTGAGCAGGAATCATACCCTTGAGTCATTGTTTTTAGACACATAGCAAATCCTGAAATTCCATGGAACAACCCTAACTGTCATTTAACAGCAGCAACCCAAGGGACCTTAGGGGAAGTGTGTGTCTCCATGCCTTCAGAGACTACTGTTTCATGTCCCATTGCATGAATAACCCTGAACACCATTTCTATCTCACCACAACCCCGATACAGAAGCAGCCCTGCCCACTCAGAGACCCATCCAGAGACATGCTCACACAGGCTCCCAAAAGGCAGCCTGCAGCCATGAGTTCAGTTTCCTATTCCAGGGAAGCCCTATAACCCAGCTTCAGCCCCACAAAGCCATGACACAGGGGTGCCTCTGAGTTCCCAGCATCTGTCAGAATACAGGTTCATCTGTGTCCCTGGTACATGTCTGTAGTGGTCAGACAAAAACATTAAAAGTAACTGTAGCTATAGTAAGTAGTTAATCAATAAATAATTTTAAAAGAAATAAAGTGTGATATCAATAGTATAAAATACTGGATGAATGAAAATATTAAAGTGTGCAGGGTTGTATGTCATTTAATTTAGTTACTATGTATTTTAAATTACTCCTCCTTCCCTCCCTCCTTCCCTCAGCTTTTGGAAACAGATTTTTCTATGTAGCACCAGTTGGCCTAGAACTCAGGCTTTCTCCACCTCAGCTTCTTTAGTACTGGGATGCTGGCATGGCTACCACACCTGAAAACAGACTCTCTTGACTATGAGGTATCTTATATGCACTTCATGTTAACCACAGATGAAAAATTCAAATATTAGTAGACACACGAAGATAAAACAGAAACAAAAAAGCAACCGACTAAAAAGAAGGCAGCAGATCACAAGACAGTAAGAAAGGAAAGAGGGAGCAAAAGAGTCACAAACCAGGATAATCAACAGAATGGCCACAGGAAGTCCTTACCCGTCAGCAGTTACTTCAAAGTGTAAATGAATCAAAGCATCTAATCAAGGGTAGCGCAGTGAATGAATGAAATAGAAACAAGATCCAACAGTATACTGCCTATATTAGCCTGAAGGACACACATGGGCTGAAAGCTTAAGACAACACAAGGTTTTCCCTGTAAATGGTAATCTGAGGACAACACTAATATCAGACAAAACAAGCTTGTCATTGCATAATAATAATAAAAGAGCCAATTTATGTAAACGATGTAATAGTGGTAAGTATATAAGCACTCAGTATTGAAAAAAGCTGAAATATATAATATAGATGTTAAGAAAGAAATAGCAATATGAAGGCTGGGCAGTGGTGGTGCACGCCTTTAATCCCAGTCCTCGGGAGGCAGAGGCAGAGGCAGGTGAATCTATGTGAGTTCGAAGCCAGCCTGGTCTAACAACACAACACTTCTTGAAAACTAATGATAGTAGAGAAACCCTGTCTCGAAAAATAAAAAAAGAAAGGAAGGAAGGAAGGAAGGAAAGAAGGAAGAAAGAAAGAAAGAGAAATAGCAATATGATAATGTATAGGAATTTTGATAACTCATTAATTTTTCTGTCAACTGTTGGAGTTAAACCTAGGACTTTACACATGGTAAGATGTTAAGTAAGCAGTCTATCACTGAGCTACACCCCCAGCCTAACATTGCACTTTTAGTAATAGATCAAACATAAAAGTTCAGTAAGGAAACTGTAGACTTGAATACACGAGAAATAGAAATGAGGAATAATGTGTGAGAACTCCAGGGAGGTGGCAATAACTTGAGGTGTGCACAGGAAGGCAAATGACTGCAAAAAGCTTGGTATTGCTAGAAGATGAACTTTTGGTTAGATACAGAATGACCGAAGTGGAGAGAGGTGGTGACTTTGTCTCATGACAAGGAGCTTAAGCAATACTACAAGTATGGAATATGGCCTAGACAATAGAATTAGTGACCTTTTAGAGTAAGGGGGAAAAAACAAAGCAAACACATCAGCAAGCCAGGAACTCATCCCCAGTGAGCCTCCTCAGGAAGACTCTCTTCCCCTTGACAAGGAAGGAAACACCCAGAAGTGGGACTAATGGATTTAATGTGTGGTGAAGTGTTCCAAAATTAAACCGTGGTGCTGGTTGCACAACACCATGAAGATGTACACTCTCAGTGGGTACACCTTATGCTATGCAAACTGCATTTAATAACACTAAGTGATTCCAGTATACCAATGTTTTCAGTGCACACACTAGGAATAAGCCATAAAAATGTGACAAAAAAGATTACATCTCCTAAAAAATAAACTTTTATACTTAAGAATAACTTGGCTGTATAAAGTATCTACAACTAGTATATAGAAAATCATAAACTTTTTTGAAATATAGAAGACAGGAATGAATCAATAGTACAAGATAACATTCTTGGAAGGTGAAATTGAATGCTATAAATGATTTAAAAATCCACAGTCCATGAATAAAATTTTGACCTTGAACCAAGCTTCAACAAAAGTGCAAACTGGGAAGCTTTGTTGAAAATGAAATACTCCCTCCAATTATTTTAGTTTATTTTTAAGAATAAAAAAGCTGAAAATTATGAAAAAGAGATATAATAAAAATAAAAAAGCTTGCTATACATCGGTAAGAGCCCTTGCCTAGACATGAGCTCCTGAATGCCATCCCCAGCAACACACACACACACACACACACACACACACACACACACACACACACACACACACACCCCACAGGATTGAGTAAAAATGGTATAATTCCACAACTCAGAGTAAATAGATTGTTTCATTTGTTCGTTCGAGACAGTGTCTCATTAGGTAGCCCTGTCTGGCCTGGAACTAGCTATGTAAACCTGACTGGCTTCAAATGCACAGACATTGCATAACCCCAAGTCTGGGATCAAAGACTTATGTCATCATAGCAGACTAGCTTTTTTTCTTTTTAGATAGTTTTCATATAGGGTCACAAAATGTCTAGACAGACTTGAAGTGAATCTAAATTTATCAATAAAGAAAAGATCAAAAATCAGGGGAAGATATACAGCAAATGGAATTACAAAATGATGCTTATTAGTTTGAAGGCGGGTAATGGTGCTCCGCTATCCATCTGTTGTACAGGTTTTGTAAATACCTAAGTCCTTGCATTAAAATCCCATTTGAAATAATGAGAATGGTTTCTTTTTTTTTAAATCAAAAGTATAGATAAACAATACCTTTCTGAAAACTAAAAGTATAAGGATTATGTTGCTTTTTGAAGTTTTCTTTTAGCAAGTAAAATAGAGTAGTATCTCACACAAATTACTTTAAAGTTAAGTAACTTCAGAGCCAAGTTCTAGGGCAGAGAAAAGTAACTATATCCTTAACTGGTCTCTAGGGGGCAGCAGGATGCCAGTTACGCCTGTCCTCTGTCAAAAGACAGAGACCTGTGGCAGTTATTATTTCCTATGCTCTATGACTAATCCTGAGTGAAGTGGGTGGCCAGGATTAGCAAGGCTTGTGAGGTCATAAGTCAAATCAAAACTAGCAAGCCCAAGTGAAGATTCAAATAACGACTTTAATTTAACCTAATAGAAAAAATATTTTTAATCTGACAAAGCAGCTAACCACAGCTAACTCAGGCTTGGTTAAACATGTTGCATGAACACATGTTTATGAAAACTTAGTAAGAGGCAGAATTTAGCCATTTCTGCTTTCCCCTCCCGGAAACAGAGATTGTACACATGAAGAGCGTCACTTACTGCTCTGCCATATCCTTAAATATTCGATGCATACTAAAAACAGAATCCCAGGACCAGGAATTATTGAAGACATAAATGGTGATTAAAACCTATTCTAATAAACCACAGATTTCCAAATTACTCTCTTACTATAAACAAAAATCCTGGAGAATTCTCTCTCTCTCTCTCTCTCTCTCTCTCTCTCTCTCTCTCTCTCTCTGTGTGTGTGTGTGTGTGTGTGTGTGTGTGTGTGTGTGGTGTGGCTTTGAGTCAGTCTCTCATTCAACCTGGTAGCCCACAAGCCTCAGCAATCCTCTTGCCTCCACTCCCGAATGCTGGGGTTACAGGTGCACACAGCCACTCTGGACTTGTTACAGATGTGCTAGGATCCCCACTCAGGTTCCCAGACATGTGCTCTTATCCATTACATTATCTGTCAAGCCTTGGAGACACAGCCATTGGGATGGTTTCCAGCTCACTACAGCCATAGAGAAAATGCAACTAGGTCTTTGTCAGAGTGTTCTGTTAAAGGTGAGACAACATGGGGGCAGGGCCAGCCTTTCCTGTAGGAAACAACCCTCTGAACTCTATACCCACTCCCACCTCACTGTGCTGGAGTTAGAGACTGCCTGGAAACTGGCTATAAGAACAGAGCAAAAGAGGGCATGGGGAGCCCTCCAAAATTTTTTCTCCC